AATAATTAAAAAGTATGTACAAATTTTCACAAAAGTACTTTTTCATGACTAATAATTTTCATAACTATTTTTTCTAAAATTGTAACACCTTGTAGCTCGAAAACCAAGAGGTTTAGGGACACGTTTTCTTGCTTTATTCTGTCATTTGTTTTTATAACATCTGAAAATTGTTCTGACAAAGTTTAAATCAACTCGCACCAAAACTTTTAACATTTAGAACATTTAGAACAGTTCATAATTATTTAAAAGTGTTCATAATCATTTAGCAACGTTCAACGACCATAGCTTAGAGGAAACCCTATTTTATAATCTTCTACATTAGTTAAAAAAATCTTTAACGCATTATTTTTGAATCGAGCTTTTATAAGTTTTAATGTCTGTAAATTTCAATCAACAAGCCTGGTTAAAAGAAAAAATATCCGTTGATTCTTTTGGATTGTTTGGGGCACTCGTCTAAGACTCGCATCGAAAACTCGTAGCTCGTCTAATGACTACATCAAAATATCTGGTGCGTTATTTATAAATTTGAAATGTTGCTGGTTCAGTTCGCTTTCAGTGTCAAGTAGGTAAACCTCTTAATCAAGCGGGTTTCGAAATCGAATGTTGTTTTAATTCAAGCAGAAAATAAAATCCGCCCACGTTGGATTTGCATTAATATTTATGAAAAAATAAAATAAAATTGTTTAATCAGTTATCGGAATATTTTGTGTATTACTAATTCGATACTAGAAGGATACGGTTCTTTGTGATTGTTCGAGCAGGACCTGGTGCTTGACCTCCTCGAAGACGATATCGAAATAAATTGGTTTTTGTTATATTGTATTTATTTAATAACATTTGTACATGTACCTAAATTAATTTCGATACACGTGCAGCAATCGAAGACGCTTATTAATTATCTTCATCTGTTCGAAAGTTGCTTTTTATGGGACGGGACGAAGAAGCGTAATTAAGATTTATTGGGATTTAATAATATAATCTTAGCTTTAAATAATGTAGATATAATAGTTTTAGGAATCTTATTTTTGATGTTTTTGGTAGTTTTAAATTTGTTTCGATTTTATGTGACAGTTTAAAATGTAAATCAATTTTTAAACCTTACAGGGAGTATCTAATAAATATAGGTATGTACATATAGAAGCATTATAAACGGTATGTAATTATTATATTGGTTGACTTTAAAGGGGAGGATAAACTTTTTTATATTATTTTAATTGACTTCATTAATTCATTTCTTCAGATTGTTGTATCAAGAATTAATGAATTTAACAATTTTTCACTACCTGATTTACTACGATTTTCTTATATTACACTTGTCATTTTTGAAGCCGGTGAATAGTTCAAACCAGAACTGATTTAGAACTGTCTAGAATGTTCCAGAACGGTCTAGAATGATCCAGAACTGTCTAGAATGATTTAGAACTGTCCATAATGAACTGTCTATTTAACACTGGTTTTACTAGTATGTATACAAAACTTTGAAGTGCTTTTCGGTCACTTTAAATCAGTTTAAATCAAAATCTACTACACTTTTTTAAACATAAATTACCAGGTATTTTTGAGAACTTTTTTGTTTTTTGGATAATTATTAATTTATAATAACAAATCGGACCAATTTTTATAAAAAAAATCATCCCAGGGCTACCTAGAGAAAGAAATGGATTATCGATAATGATAGCTAAATATAATTTTTCGCCATGCTTACGAAGATTCGCTCTCTCATCCGCTTAATTTTTTGCTATCTCAATAATCAAGGAAATATGTTCAAATGTTGTACCACAATGCTACAATCAATAAAATAAAATTAAATCATCTGGCAGTGTCTAAAAAAATCTCAAAAATAGATCTTTCTCTGGTCGAATTAACATGTTATCCCCTCCTTACGAAGAAAATTGAAAATCTTTAAATATACATACATCATCAAAACTAGCTACATTGTAATGTATAAGAAATAAGACTTTCGTTCTTATTCTAATCCACAATAATTTTATTATTCTCTACTTTATAATTTTTTTTACTTTATTGATTTCTTGGTACGTTTCGATTTTCGATATAAAGAAAAAAAAACATCCAATTAGGTACACAGGCTGTTTTTTAATAACTTGCTAATACTTAAGGGGGTGTTCCTTGGACTCATTTTAAGAAGCAAAAACTTTATTTGAACATATGTCCTAAACCTAAAATTTATTATTACCTAATTTCTGCACAGCGGCTAATACAGCGGTAGCCTACAAGTTAAATGCATTTAATTTTTTATGCGAAACGGCGAGTTGTACAAAAAAAAGTGAAGAAATCAAATTTGTTCTGAATTACACGGGGCCTCCAAAAATAATTTTTATTTCAAGAGAAAGCAGTGGCGTACCACTTTTATCCTTAAAAATATTTGGCCCGAGTCCATTACGGACGCCACTGTTGGAAATAAAAAAATGTTTTTCAGGCCAAAAAATGCCCTTTGATGCATAAACACCGTATACACCAAATTTCATAGAAATATTTAAAGTGGTATGCAAAAAGACAGTAAAAAATTGATATCTTCTTAACACCATATATCTTAAGACGTTTAGGACATAGGTGAATGTAAAGTTTTTTTCTTAAAATGGGCCGAAGAAACACCCCCTTCAATATTAGCATGATATTAAAAAACACTCTGTATATTCGACTTTGCGATCATCACGTGAAACTCACCAAAGTCTCCTTTTTGTACTTAGGCGGCGCGGCGAAGCATTTTTGGACATTACCCATCACAATTCGCCCTACAAAAATCACATCATCTCGCACCGAAACAACACCTTTTCCCCCGGTACAAACCGCCCGAAATAAACGCGACTCTACAATCCGCTTCGAATCCCCTCGATTCGGAGCGGAATATCATCCATTCGGGACACTCAAAAACTCCTAAAATTAAGTTTCAACCGTCGCGACACGGCCACATTTCGAATTTACGTTATAATTTACCATACCGTACGTTTTGTATTTTTTCGGCGGCGACGGCGGACGTCGTACTAAAATGGGCGCGCAAAATGCACTCTCGGATTGTGAACGTTTGTAATAAAAGTAAGAGTCTCTCTCGTTCTCCATTATGTCATCTCGAGTCGAAAAACCGGCTTCGAGGTCATGACGAGATTATTTATTACATGTACGAATGTACGTACGCAATGTTATGTGTACGATATTGGAGATTTTTGAGGAATTTTAATACAAGGCTATTGTTAGAATAGCATATCAAAATATGCCTGAATCTAAATAGCCCACGAAGGATTTTCAACTGTCCAGATTGATTCAGAATTGCCCAGAATGATTTTAAACTGTACAGAATGATTTTGAACTGCCTCCAATGATTCAGAACTGTCCAGAATGATTCAGTACTCCAGATCGATTTAGAACTGTGCAGAATAATTCCTAACTGTCCAAAATAATTCCTAGCTGTCCAGAATGAATTTGAACGGTCCAGAATGATTTAGAACTCTCCATAATGATTTAGAACTATCTAATACAATGATTTAGTAGGTATATACTATCTAGAATGATCCAGAATTGTATAGAAGAATTTTAAATTGTGTAGAATGATTTTGAACTGTCTCCAATAATTCAGAACTGTACAGATTGATTCAGTACTCTAGATCGATTTAGAACTGTGCAGAATAATTCCTAACTGTCCAGAATGAATTTCAACGGTCTAGAATGATTCAGAACTCTCCATAATGATTTTGAACTGTCTACAATGTTTCAGAACTATCTAGAATGATCCAGAATTGCCCAGAAAGATTTTAAAATGTACAGAATGATTTTGAACTGTCTCCAATGATTCAAAGCTATTCGGAATAATTTTAAACTGACCAGAATGATTTTGAACTCCAGATCGATTTAGAACTCTCCAGAATAATTCTGAATTGTGCAGAATAATTTTGAACAGTCCAGAATGATTTAGAACTGTCTACAATGATTAAGAACGACCTAGAATGGTCCAGAATTCTCTAGAAGGATTTTAAAGTGTGCAGAATGATTTTGAACTGGCTTTAACGATTCAGAACTGCTTAGACAGACTTACAAGTGTTTAGAACGATTTAGAACTGCCCAGAATGGTTCAGAACTGACCAAAATGATTTTGAAGTTAGGATATTATTAACTATCCTAATAACATTTTTCGATAGAGAATGAAAAGACCTTTCAAACGATGTATCACTCAGGTATATACTTCCCTTTAAAAAAATAGAGGTTGTAACTGTTATTCGAAGGGTGTTGAAGTTAGGGCTCAAATTTTAACGTTGAAGAATGTCAGTTTATAATTGTTCTAATGTATTTTAATTTATTTATATAGATTATATTTATGTAATGAATTTTTTATACCTTTAAATAAATACGTTTCTAATTAACAAAAGTTGTTAATATTTTATAATTTGCTATAGGTATGTAAAATTATAAAAATAATATTTAAATATACCACCCATTTTTAATTTGAAAATATAGAATAAATCTACTCGATATTTCACGCTTAGTTCGTGGGTCCCCCCAGAAGCAGCAGCACCGTGTGAATGTTCCAAATAATTATGCTAATTACGCCGTTCGAAACACTATTATTGAATTTTTTTTAATAGATAACTAATACTTTTGTTGTCTAAATTTGTATAGCATGTATGTGTTTAATTTAATGAAATAAAAACGAATTATTGGATGAAGAAGGAGTAAACAAGGAGTGAAGAAGGGATGAAGAAGAGATAAATAGGTAAAGAATCTATAAAGAAGGAGTAGACAAGTAGTAAAGAAGAGATTAAGAAGGGATATAGAAGGGATAAGAGATGTAAAAAAGACGTAAAAAATAGGTAAAAAAGAGATAAAAAAATAGTTAAAAAGAGGTAAAATTGAAGTAAGAAAGGCATAAATGAAGGGATGAAGAAGCAGTAAAAAAGGAATGAAGAAGAGATAAAGAGGTAAAGAAAAATCAAAAAGAAGTTAAAGATATTTAAACTAATTAATAAATAAATCTACACTTATCCATCATAAAACAACTTAAATATTACAACCCTGGATGTACGACCCAGTATCCCCTTTGCAATACTTGGGGTAAGTTGTCCATGCTTCGAAACCGTTCTTCTTCAATCTCTGCGTCTCTTCGAACACCTGCTTCACGCACTTGACGTCATCGTCGATGTTATCATCTTGCAAGGCCGAGCATTGCACGTGACAGCCGTTCGGATGTCCCGGGGGTTCACACCAGTACAATTCAGAGATCTGGAACAGCCCGTGGTCCTTGGTGTTCGAATTGAAGGCGTTCGTGTCGAATTTGGACTCGTGGTCAACTGGGCAAATTTTAGTATTAGTGAGATATGTTTTGATTAGTGTTTGATTAGTTTTGTATTTGAGAGAATTTCCACCAATTTTTGTGTAAATTTTGGCGTTTTTGTTTTATGATCGGTTATTTTATTTTTATTGATTTTTAGTGACTTTTATTGTTTTTTTTGATCTTACAGATTTTTAGTGGTTTTAGACAGTTCTATATATGATTCTGGAGCGTTCTAAATGGTTTCAGACAGTTCTAAATGTTTCTGGTGCGTTCTAAATAGTTCTAGACAGTTCTAAATGGTGCTCTAGAAGCCCTATTGTGGGACATTAATATACGAAACCGACACAAAATCATACAAAAAAACAAACAAGAGCAGTAGTTGCTAACCCACAAAATTATAAAATAGGGAAAATAACATTTTCGTAACCTATAAAATAAACAATAACTTCTAAAAAATACATAATGCTTGTGGGTTAGGCCGTTGTTGCTCTCGTAGCCTCAATTAATTGTAATGTAGAAATTTAGAGTAATTGATTAGTGTAGTTAGAGTAAATGATTCTATTGCACTTACCTATACAAATCCATGTGGAAATCTGATCCTTGGGAAATTTGTATTTGTCTAATAGTTCATGGGCCAGCTGACATTTATCGTATTTTCTTCCCGAAACGGTAGAAATGTAAAGTAAAGCGCAAACTAACGTCAATTTTCCAATCATATTGCTTCGATTTTCTGAAACGTTTGCACGGGTTTAAAATAACTTAAGTTACTAAGCTCAAATTTAAAATTGATTAGAAACTGAATAAATTCGATCATTGATGAATTTAGATGTTCAATTTATTACTAAATTGACGAAAAATATTTCGAAAATATATAAGATTAACCTCAAAAGTTACTAAATCTATTTAAAAATGATCGACGAGTCCATAAAAAAAGTACTGAGTAAATTTAAACAATGTTGAATTAAGTGGAAAATACTACAAAAAGTTAAATAAATAAACAATAAATGAAAATAAAATTAAAACTGATAATTATTAAATTGAGAAGAAACACTGTTAATAAAAGAAGTTTTCACTCTTTCGAGCTTTAAAAAAGCTCCCTAAGAAATTCCTGAATAATAAAATAAAATAAATAAAATAAAATAAAAATGGAGAAAATGATTTAAAAAATTGATAAAACCATTAAATTGACGAAAAATATTTCTGAAATACCATTTGCAAAAAATACTAGTAAATCAAAGTTATTTATTCGGTAATTCGTATAAAAAACGTTAGTTAGTTGTAAATATACATATTCTCTTACCTTTCACAAAGCAGGATGAAATGTATTTGATACAAAATATTTTTTTTCTCTTTTATAAACATTTACAAAAAGAAAAATGCTGATAAGAGCACGAAAATTATCATATATTATTTATTATTAAAATTGTCAAGAGGAATTCCCGTCTTGTGATATGACTTATTGGAATGTAATTATACTGTTGTTGTACCGAAATATTTTTTCCGTTTTCTAATTTATATACATATCTAATTTATATTAGAATTCCTATACAGGGTGTTAATTAATTGAGTGCCGATACTTCAGGATGTGAATATTTGGATGATTTAAAGAAGAAAAGTTTATATCAATATGTCCTAATATTAGTTTTCGAGCTACAGGGTGTTATAGTTATAGAAAAAAAACTTTTAATTCTGTTATAATTTTCTTTGAAAGATGGTTTTCGCTTCAAAAATTGTGTTTTCAACATCTAATTCAAAGGGGCGGTTTAACCCCTCGGAGTTAAGAGCCTATACAGAGTTTCATAAAAAGTTAGTAACTAATTATGATAAAAATATAAAAAAGTATTTTAAAAAATAAAAAAAAAACCATTTATAGATTTTTTATAAACATTTTATCGATCATTTCACTGACTTTTTAAGCATTATTTTTAACTAAATTAAATAATAATCTCGAAATAATAACTAAATAATAATAATCTCTGGATAATAGAACTCAAAAATACGGAAGCAAAAAATTTAGCAAAATCGATTATAATGAAAAAAGCCCAATTGATTCACTATAAAGTTTTTTTACAACTATTTTCGCATAATAAAAGTTTTCATATAAATGTGTTAATCTAATTTGTTTTTTAATTGTAATAGCAGCAGATTTTTAGTTTACTTGAACAATTAGGGTTAAAAATAATGTTTGCTTTTGCTAAAATTAGATAGCTTTTTAAGCAGTTTTGAGCATATTTATTAACTTTTGATTTCTTTTGAATTTTTTCAACTTTAAATAAAATGAAATTCATTATTATTATATTATTTAAACTGAAAAAATATCAAATAATGATTCAGTACCAAGTTTATTCCAGAGTTTTTTTACATTCCGAAATTTGCAAATATTTATACTTAATTTGTTTGTAGGTACTCGTAAATTATAATTACTGCGCAATTTTTTTGAAATTTACAAATGCCAAACAATATTTTAATTTACCCACATTACCCATACCTACATAATATTTTATCTACAGAAGTTGGAAAAAAGAAAAATATTATGTACCTACCTATTTATTTTTAAAAACATTGACACTGCATTACGAATAAATTGTACATTATAATTGAAGAATAATAAAAATTATCACTTTTTGACTAGACACCAACCCCTATCAGTTTATCAGGAGATATCCGATCTCATCCGGCCTGATGGTTACCGGCGTGAATAAAAAACTGCTTATAAAAGACTATTGAAAAACACACTAGTAAAGAACAGATATAACTTTTCCGAAAACTGTAAATATTCAATTTTCCACTGAGAGGTTGAGAAATGCTTGGTGTAAATAAAACTTTTTACACTTACAAATAGTGTAACAAATGATTCTGAGGCGACAACTTCATTTTTATTATCATACCCGTTGATTTTATTACAAAAAATAAAATTTTATTATTTATTAAAATAAACATACGGATATGGGTCTTTTCTTGTATATAAACATAATTTTCCTTTCTCATTTTTGCCGCTCAGAATTTTGTATTTAATTTTATTTGATTTGTAATATACTTCATTGGAAAACCACATCCGGTGTATTTTTCTGCTTTTTTTAAGTTTATGGTTCAAGCTTTCCAGAGTTATGTTTTTTAAGTCTTTTTTATACAGGGTGTTAAAAATTAAGGCATTAAGTTCTAAACCTTAGCCCAGCACTGGTAAACTAAAAAAAACTCAATATGTTTCAAGGACATTATTTTTTGAGGTCCTTATTAGTGTCCCTTATTAGATTTTTTTAAATAATCAATGTTAATGTTATGATATTTAAGGAAAAAATATTTTCAGCGGCGTTCTTCAGGGACGCATATCTTCGTAGGGAGGGCCTGTAGAGAAAAACTTTATAAGAACTTTCCATCTTATTTTTTTTTTCATGTTCTATATGGATCCGAGAAATTTCCCATACTTTCAGGAACACCCTGTATAATTTATTTTTTTTTAATGATTTATTATTACATTGCTTTAAGGATTTTGAGTAATTTACTATTTAACAAACAATACTGATGGATTTCGAAACTACTTATATTTATATAAAATACAGGGTGGCCCAGAACTCACGCCCCACCGGGAGTTCTGGACAATGGAGATGCCAAAACTGCAGTCAAAAACATGAAAAGTTTTTCCTTTGGTAAATAAAGAGGTTTAAAATCGACCAATCCCAGTAGGAATTCAAATCGATGAAAATGACGTGAATGCACCAATACACCAATTTGACATGATTGAAAGATTCTATGTTCTATTCACTTTCAAGGTAAACATAAGCAGCCAAAATCTTCATTAAAGATTTGCTTCCAAATTGATAAAAAAAATGGATCATTCGATTCGAACCAGTTTTGAAAAAATAAAAAATTCTGTGGGTTTGGTATCAGCACGAAGGAGCTCCCGAATGATTGATTTGAAATCAAATCTTTGATAAATAAGTATCTCGTTAAAATGATAACGAAATATTTTTTGAAAGAAAGGAACAAACAAGTCTGACAAATATCGAGAAAAATATACAAGGCGTTAAAAGAGCAAGTATACCGTGTTGGAAAATTATTTGCGCATAATAGGGAAATCAATGTTAAATTCTTAGCCGGCAGAAATCCAGTCTACCAGTGTACATTTAAATAGAACGTCGCGGTAAAATCTAATAAATTTAATTGTTCTACTGGACTTCACACCGCGCTTTGGCTTGGTTAGATTAAAAATCAAATAATTTCGACGGTTTCGACACTTCGACAGTATCAAAACGGGCTCGGATGGGTGAACGTCGAGTCGATTAAAAAGAAATGAGAATTTTTAAACGATAATTTATTGAAAAAATATCACTAATAATAAAATAGAATTATGTAGATATGTCTTTTTGCCACAATGGCTTGAAAAAGAAAGTAAATTCTAAGAAAATAATAAAAAGAAAACTCCAAAAATAAACTTAAAGATTATTTTAAAACAGAAAATAAAAGAACTCTAAAAAATAGTCCACCGCTTTCTGCTAAACTATAGGCAAACCTGTCATACAGATGTCATCTCATATTACTGAGCTGAGGTGTAATTTTAGCAGAAAATTTAATTATTTTTTCCTTAATTTTCCTTATTTAACAAGATTTGTTGCTATTTCATAACTCTACCTACCGATACACACATTTTTTGAAATATCCCCAAAAAACCTATTAATTGTAGTTTCTAAATAATTTTGTACCTCATACTTAACACAAATAACTTTGTACCTCTACAAATCGCGGCGTGCGATCCAGTAGAACAATTAAATTTATTAGAATTCATCGCGACGTTCTATTGAAATGTACACTGGTAGACTGGATTTCAGCCGGCTAAGAATTTAACATTGATTTCCCTATTATGCGAAATTTAATTTCTAACAGTGTAGATGAAATAATAAGAACCTGATAAGATAAGATCTAGTATACACTGTGATTCATACGCGATTGCAACATGGGCATTTCTATGAGTTGAACAAAGAAAGATTAACTGTCTAATTGTAGTTGTTTTTGCAATGAATTGAATTTTATATCTATAAGTATAAACAGGTATATGCAGAATATAGTTCATTTTGTTCTGTACTAATATTTTTTGTTTTCGATTTGTTTCAATTTTATTAAATAGAAGAGAAAACCCTATTACCTAATCGTAAAGAGAATATAAAAAACGTGTATTGTAAATACAACTAGTGCTCCATCAATGGAAAATATAATGGGATATCCAGTTAATGGGAATATTCATGAAAAGATTTAATATATTTATTAGACTTTTAATCGAGTGTGTCGTGTACGTAACACCTAGTGATTTATGTATCTGCTGATTATCGAACGTTTCTCGGTATTTTTGGACAAATCAGTGTATGTGTATCAGTGTATTTATCAGGAGATAGTGTTCAAAAGAGTCCAAATGGCTGGTAATTGTTCAAAATTTTGTAAATCTTACAAAACATACTTAAGGATAAGGTCCATAGGTAAGGCATCAATATTGATTTTGAAACAATAAGGGCGTACTGTCAACTGTCAAATACTGTCTGTTGTGTATTTGTTCGAAGGACCTTAATGAAAACGATGCGGTGAACTGCACTGGTTGGTTTCAGCATTTATTTGCACAATAGAATATACGAGTAGTTACAAATGTGAAAACGGAAAATGCTTGAACGCTAGGCGTTCGGATCGGTCGGAGTCGAGAGCAAGAATGAGGCTCTAAAGCGTATATGCGGCGGCGCGAGCCGTTTCCGGTCAGATATTCAATACTATCAATTACATATCTTCGATTGGATAGGAGTTAATTCCGTTTATTGTGCAATTTGATATAATAGTTAAACTTACTTACCTTTTTGGCAAAAACAATTTTTTATTAACAATGAATACTGTTCTTAAATTTGTAATATTATTCTGTAGTGTGTCCATAGTGCGTCTGGAAGCACAGGAAAATTATAAATTGGAGTAAGTTTTCCAGTTAATATTACTTGAAGTTAAGAGTCACAAATAAAAAATACATCTTATTTTTGGAGTTGAGACGATTGCGATCTTTTTTTTACATAGTTTTGGCTCTAATTGGAGCACATTCGAATGCTTTTTGGTTTACATAAGCTACTCCTCATAGATCGTGCTGAAATTTTTAGGGAAGGTAGACTTCGTGTCTATAGAACTGATGCCATTTTCCGGGGGAAAGCTTTCAAGAAAAAAATTATTGAAAGTTGTCCTATTTTACGTTGCGCATTAACAATGTACGTCATTAATGGCTGTTTTGCGCCACTTCCCAAGTAAATGTAGATATTCATTTTTACATTTTACAAAACACTGCTTTCCGATTTTATTTTTGCTATCATGTTACTGATAATACTGATTAAAATTGTTCTGGAAAGGTTCACTGACTCCTTCACTGGAGCTCAACTGACTCCCTCACTGGAGCTCAACTGACTCCCTTACTGGAGCTCAACTGACTCCCTCACTGGAGCTCAACTGACTCCCTCACTGGAGCTCAACTGACTCCCTTACTGGAGCTCAACTGACTCCCTCACTGGAGCTCAACTGACTCCCCGATAATTAATGAACTGCAAATTTGTGGATTATTCTCATACACGTTTATTAACAAATTTAAAATTTTGATTACACACATTATTTCAAGGCACGTTATTTCTTTTCTTCCCTTTTTCGCTACAGCAACGTTGCCAGATTGCCCTCTCGCGTCGTAACAGCTATTTCCTGTGTTGTTACTTTGTACTTAATTTCTGAAATCATCATCATCAGATGTTAAAAAATACTTATTACACATTTAACAGTCTCACCAGTTAGGTACACACAGTTGCCCACTCAACAGTTACGTACTTCAGTTTCCCATGGCAGTGATTTGAAGACATTTTGAGATAATATTTTCGATTACATTTAATATTCGTAAATAAAGAGGTAATTAACATAAAGAAATAATTTTTTTAGACCTTATCAAAGATTGCTTAGCCGTCATAAAAGGATTGTCGGTGGTGAAAATGTTGAAGAAGCCAAATTATATCTTTTCTTAGTAACTCTTAACATCTATAATTCTGACAATACATTCGAAACTTGCGGGGCAATTTTAATCAAACCAGAATGGGTATTAACAGCTGCTCATTGTATTGATAAGTAAGTAAATTATATTCATTGTTATATAATAAATTAGTTAATTAATATAATAATATATAATAATTAATTACAAAACTATTATCTGTATACGAAGTTATTAAAGCTCTTAGTATTAACATTGGGTTTTTTGTAGTAACCCTTCGTATGTATATGTAACTTTGGAAGATCCTGGTAAAACAATTAAAGCAGATACATTCTTTATTCACGAAGATTGGAGAAAAGATACATATGAGAACGATATTGGACTAATTAAACTACAAGAAAGGGTTAACCTTATTGAATACATAAAAAATGGAATAATAAAAATGGCTTCAGGTAAGTCAACTGTATTTGATAATTTCACCGAAACCAGAACCATTTAAAACGCCCTAGAATCATTTAGAATTATTCAAAATGATTTAGAACTATCTATAATCATTTAGAAAGATCGAGAACCATCTTAGAAAGATCGTCAACCATTCAGTTGCTCTGGCATATTGATATTTTTTTTATTGAACATTATGACAATTTGATTCTCTGTTAAGATACGAAGATTACGTACGAAGGACAAAATGGGATTATTCTTGGATATGGCATAACCGAATCCGGTAAAGAACCAGCTGAATTGAAGCAAGTCAACGTGACAATTATGTCGAATGAAGCATGTCGAGCAACTAGTTCTGAATACGCTAAAGTAAATATTGTTAAAAGAAAAAAAACCGCCGGAATTTAATAATAAAACAATATTTTTTCAGATTATTAGAGACAGTCACATTTGTACTGACGGTACAGGAGGAAAGGGTTCTTGTTCCGGAGATTCGGGGGGTCCTTTAATTGTAGGGAATATCTTAGTTGGCTTGGTTAGTTTCACATCGTCTAATTGTACAAGCGGACATCCTTCGATGTTTACAAGAGTTTCCAGTTATTCCCAATGGATAAATGAAAAGATATTTAATAATAGTAGTCGAGAAATAGAACATTTGATCTTGCTCTTGATAATTATCTTCGTACTGGTAGCTTTAGTGATACAAATTATAAAGTTTTAACCGTATACGTTAGGGCCCGACTTTTGCAATTAATTATTATTTAATTTATTAATTATTTCTTTACTTATTTTATGCAGAATTTAATTATTTTTATTTCATAGTTTAGAAATTAATTTTTTATTAGTATCTGGGAAAGAAAGGATCTGTAAAAATTGTTGAAACGGAAGCAATACGATGCACTCATTTTATACAGGGTGTTGTAAAATGGTTGGAACATGACTTAACTACAAATTTCTGTGACAAAAATAAGATGATATTTAACATTTCTGCGACACCCTGTGTATCTGTACTTGTATTTTATAAATAACCTATTATGTTCGTGTAATTTGAACAATGTGATCTGTCACCAATAAAGATATCTTGTTATAAACTGCTATTTGAACAATCTCATTTTTGTACTTGCTATTTGAAAGCAATACGGCTGATGCGATCTTTCTCCATTGCTGAATTAGCAATGAGCTTACATTTTCTGCAAATGCGAGATACAATTAACCACTTTTATTTGCCAAATGAAAAAATTTATAAAACTTAAATAACTGTCTAGAACCATTTAGTACGCTCCAGAAAGGTTTCAAAACTGTTCTAATTCTAATCAGAACCTTATCTCGAACGCACCTCATCAACTCTTCTTCTTTTCTTTTCCTTGTTCTGGGATTTTCTAGAACTCTAGTGGGTACAAAAGGGCACTTTTTAGGGTTGTCAGGGTCTTTATTTTCTGTATTCTGTAACACGTTCCATTTATGCATTTCAACACAATGATTTACAAATTTTATTTTGCTAGTGTTCATTTTTAGCAAATTTAATTTCATCCATTCTTCTACAATTTGAACTGTTAAATTCTCTACTCTCTATTATCTACTTTCTACGATTTCTTCTCTCAAACAGTGCATATGGTATATTAAAATATGAAAAAATCTTAAACAAATTCTAGATTAGACTTGACAAACGTATTAAGTAGTAAAAAAAATATAAAACTATTTTCTTTTACTAACTTTTGAAACTTATTATTTACTTTTGAACTATTTCAAAAAACGACTAGCTAAATTGCATGTAAGCCATTTAAAAAAAATTAAGCCAATTATATTAATCTAACAGAAATTATTCGTCATCAGGAACTTCAAATTGCAGCGCCACCAATACATAAGTCAGTATATTTGCAGCTATCTGGAATACAATGAAAATGCTTTAGTACGAAAGAAGGAAATGTACATGGGTATTATCGAGTAGGAACAATACAAAATTCAGTAACGAAACATTTGTTCTTGTCATTTGTTAGTACTGCCAATTTATTCTACTCACAGGCCCAGCGATTCCCAAATCAATCGTGAAAACTCCGCATGCAGTAAATGGCCGGTGGTTGTTAATCTTTTCGATAAAAAGTCTGACCTGTTGGTGTTCTTCTGGTTCGTAAATCCTCGTCGAATATTCTAATAGGAAGGTAACCAGCCCGTGTATCTAAAAGTGAATTTATCGTATTGATTTATCGACATGATTTTTTTTATAAAACTTCTGGATTCTCTACATAAAGGAACTAACCAAAGATAAGGATCAATTTATCCAACCAAGTGTTAAGGTCTTAACGCCGGAGGAAGAGATTTTCTCTTATAAGTTCTTGAACTTAAATATGTTTTATTTTACACTTAATAATCTCTAGAAATACCGAATCGTCCTGTACACAAATATACCACGATGTTCGAGTAGCATCGACTAAAGTTTTAAAATGTTGAAGCATGGAAAATGAGAATACTTTATTCAAGAGAAAACTTACCATATTTTTTAACTGCTGGAAAGTCTTCAAAAACAGGAACAACGCATAAGTATGAAACAGCACAAAAAATATGTTCAATATATTCAATCCGAATGCTTCGTCTTCTTGAAAACTGTAAACCAAATAGGCGATAACAGCGTACCAATCGACAATCAAAATGCCCAGTTCAACAATCGTGTTGAACAAAAAAGTTATATCCAAGCATTTATTAAAATCGTATATGCTAACGCAGATTTCTTCGTGGTTTATCCTTAAAATTTCGACAGTTCTGGAAGCCTTCTGAGTCGCTAAATCGTCGCGAATCAAGTGCTTCTCACTGCAAAGCTCGTATTGCATTAAACCCATTAGATCTCTTAAATTATTGGTTTCGTCGATTTCCTTCAAGGGATGAATAGGAACAAATCTTAAGGAATTCAAAGCGAACTTTTCGAAGCATCCCAAGCAGCCCATCAGAACTGCAACTATAACGAACACTGCGGAATATAAGCCGAACGTGAAATTTGCGAACATCCTGTATATTATGTTTAGAAAAGTAAAGTGTGCTCGATGGGTTAGGTTTAACCATATAAGTATGCAGATTTCTAAAACTATTATTAGAAGAAAAAAAGCGAATATAATGAATTGTATGGAAAACGCTTTTCGCATTGCCGATTGGCAGAACACTCCATTTTTTATTGTGGATACAAATCTGTTTAGAGTTTCGATATAAACGGGGTACTTCCAAATGCCAATTACCATTATTAAAATAACATAATGGCTGTAAATTAAATGAGTTAAATTATCCAATATCGTCAACAATTTTGCGTTTAATATCGTCTCATAATTAACATTGATTAATATTAAGCATATCTCGGCCATCAACACCAAACCGGAGTAAAGCAACCAAAAATAGGATTTTCTATAAACACAAATGCCTTCGCTGTGACTCCAAGTTATAGGAAAAGCTCCGAAAATTCTTATGAATGTAAATATTGGACCAAATAATTTGCAAACACAATACAACGATTTATCTTTATGATTCCACTTTAGTTCCGTTTCCTTATTAGTTAGCTGAATTGGTAACTTCATATCAAACTTTCTTATAAAATGCACGATTACTGTAATAACTGCATCACAACTGTTCAATAGGTGGACGACATAATAATTCCATTTATAATAAAAAAATACTAATATATGCAATAATAGACACGCATAGATGAATAATTCTTTTATTTTCTTATCATTTATTTATACAAATAATAATAAAATTCTATATTTGACGAAAGCAAATTTATAGGTACATAAATAATAAATTAGGGATATCTACATAATGATGTTTATAATTCGAGCACACATTTATTATTGAATTAACCTGAATTTTATTTTACGAATTTATTTCTAAATTGAAAACGTTTTTTTCATCCAATTCATTATTTATTTGTCTTGTCATTCGGTAAATTTCCATGTGAGAAAAGTGAGTTTATTTAACTATTAAAGCTGAATACGACATTGAGTGGTTCATTGATTGGTGTTTTTTTATTAAATAAGGAAATTTCCAAATACCACAGAAATGAACACCGCGTATCGGAAAACACTTCAGAAAACACTGCAGAAATTTCATCTTCAATGTCGAATTTTCGAAAAAGACGTTTTTCTTTTTCAAGTTTTTTTTTTTAATTCTTTTAGAACCATTTATACAAATTCCTCTGAACAAAATGTTAATCAATTAGGTTAAACATAAGCATGCCGAATTTTTCCGGGAACAAAAAGTGTTTTAAATTTCCATAATAAAATAAAACATTCTTGAGAGGAGAAATTGAATGAATATTGAAAATTTTGACAGAAATTTTACCATATTCAAATTTAAATAAATATTTATCGTTATAAAGTTATAAATTATTATAAATTAGGGGTATATATTAATAATAACTATTATATAATTACCGTTAAAACCTTTATTATCTTTCAACTCCATTTCGAACAAAAACAATTGTCGATAATTGGCAATTTTTCATTCTAAATATACCATTATCAAACTTTCAATGGGTTACAATGTTACTATTTAAACAAAAATTCTTTACTATTTATTTTTCCATTTACTTAAACAAGATTTATGTTTCCATTTAGGTACTCTATTTAAATAAAATCCATTTAAATAAATTAAAAACCGTTCGTTTTGCTCGAATGCTCGGACTTGATGATCTCCGATATCTTCTCGGCAATCATCAGAGCAGCGACGTCCGGATGACCAGAAATCTGCGTAGGGAACACCGACGAATCGACGACCCTGAGTCCTTTTATCCCGAACACCTTGAGATCCGAATCCACCACCCCGTGTCGTCGGCTCGCGCCCATCGGGCAGGTGCCCACCGGGTGGAAGGCCGATTGGGATAGCTGACGTATGAAGCAGTACCAATACTGCTTGGATCTGAATTGCAGATGGCGACAGGGCGGCAACGGGTTGGCGATGTAGCTCAAACCCAGCCTCTGGTAGGCCCGTGTTTGGGCTAACCTTAAAATGAATTGTATCCCTTGGTACAGTACGTCGATGTCTTCGTGGTGGGCCAGCACGTTCGGGTCAATTAGAGGGTATTCGAAGGGATTGTTGTCCTTCAATCGCACCGTTCCCGTGGACTTCGGCAGAAGATTTTCTATGACGAACGAAACGTGGGTGTTGTTGGAGCCCCAGAGGGCCTCGTAAATCTCGGGTTTGAATCCCATGAGTCTTCGTTCGCCGTCGGAATACGCTATGAGATCGCTGAAGACTTCTACGTTGGGCGTGCTGCCTGGTCGGTTGATTTTGTAAAAGCCTAGCGCTTGATTTACCATCGGGGCTGTTAAAGTACCGATTCCTTTAATGTAGTCTTTTAGCTGATCGTCCAAACTCTCTTCGGGTATGTTAATGTTAGATGAAAATCTCAAATCGACGTATAGCTGGTCTCTTAATGTACTACCGACCTCCAAGTCTTCTATTACAGTAATACCGTGTTGTTGTAGGTGTTTTTTGGGTCCTACGCCGGACAGCATCAAAATTTGAGGGCTACCAATCACGCCTGCTGATAGTATGACCTCTAATTTGGCTTTTACGCGATAAGTTCGACCGGCGTTCGTGAAAACGGCACCGGTAGCTCGTTTAGTGCTCGGATTAATGACGATGTTGGTAACGTAACTTCCTGTTAGTACTTTCAAATTCGTCCTCTTTAAATGCGGTTTTAAGAACAAGTTTCCGAAGTCTTGCCTTCGTCCGGTCTTGGAGACGTAGTACTGGTAAATCGAAGTACCGATTTGACTCGGCTTGTTCATATCGGTGACGTGGTAACCGAGCTCCTCGTTGGCGCGCACGAAGGCATCGGTGAGGAAGGTATCCGGAATCCTGTCTTGCACGTTCAGCTCTCCGGCGGTGCCGTGGTAGGAAAACGCCGGCCTCGCTTTGGAGTTGCTGCTGTGGAAGTTCTCCGATTTTTTGAACCATTTGAGCACCTCGTCGTACGACCAGCTCGCGTCGTCGACGATCCTCGCCCAGTCGTCGAAGTTGCTGGGGTGGCCCCGGCTGTAGATGGCGTCGTTGATGAGGGTGTTGCCGCCGACGCCTTTGCCGCGCGGCAGCAAACAGGACTCGTTGACCACTCCTGCAACAAGAGAACCACCTGTGACTTTGGGGCTCTTGGGATGTTTAGTGTAATAACTAACCGAGGCAGCCGAATTGCTGGGGAACGCTCTTGTAGCCCCAGTTCCAATCGGTGTACATGTGGAAGGGTTCGGCGAATCTGATGAATTGCTCGAATCCGTTGTTGGAGAAGTTTCCGGCCTCTAAAAGCAGTACCTGAAAGTCGAGTTCTGAGAGCCTGCTGGCTACTACTGAGCCGCTGGTGCCGCCTCCTATTATGACGAAATCGTATGTTCCATATTCTGCAATGAAATGGATTGACCGTTATCAGTTTATTTTTGGTTGTTGTCGATTTTATAATTTTAAATTAGATACTAATATTAGTGTCACCAGACTTTCGTAATTCCCCAACAATAATTAGTTTAAAGTAGTACCAAATAATAAGTTCGGAAACTAAAAAATATATTTACCTTGAAAAATGTTATCGTTGTTGGCTTCGTGGATTTTTGCATCGGTACGTAGTTGATAGTTTTCAGCTTGTCGGGTACCTTCGTTGATTAGGTTTTTTAGGTATTCGATTTCTGAAGCATTGTCACAGTAAATGTAACAAACGCATAGTAATAAAATAAACGTTTTGTTGCAATGGGTAAACATTTTTATAGAATTGTCATTTAAAAGCTATCGTTTTATGGAAGATTCTGGTAGAATGAAAATACGTTTAGTAGCTCAAAATCTTAAAATTTAATATGCTACAAACTAGTTTTGAATTTTTTATCACATCTGGCACAGAGGTCAAGCGTTTGCAGACCTCAGTAGCGTACGTACATTAAAAATTATTCGCCTAATTGGTATACTTTTACAAATTAACTACGTTTTTTTTATCTAAAATGGTGTTTATTGAATATTTATTTATGTGTAATTCCAATTTATTATATATTTATCTCTACATTTATTATTCACAATAAGTGTAATGACGTATTTTTTTCAAATAATTTTATGAGTAATAAAAGAAAATCAATGTTCGTATGTTCGCCTAATTTTTAGATTTATTTAAAAACCTACAAAAAAAATATTTCGATTTAATTACATCTGAAATTTTTTCTGCAATCATCCCGACCGATGCGCTAGTATGGCCGCTGATTCTTTTAGGCATAACACTCGAATCCACCACTCTCAGTTTCCCAACGCCGAAGACTTCCAATTTGCTGTTCACCACCGCCCCCGGTTCTCCAGCAACCCCCATAGGACAAGTCCCCATCGGATGGTAGAACTCATCGGTCGCATACCGAATGTAACAGTACCAGTACTCTTTGGATTTAAATCGCAGATGCTCGCAGGGCTTCAACGGCCCGGGTATTTCCCCAACGCCGAGTTTCTTGTACGGTTCGGTTTCGATTAGCTTCAAAAGAAACTGTATGCTTTCGTACATAAATTCCCGATCTTCGTTCTTCTCGTCGCTTAGGAACCCCAAGTCTACCAGCGGGTAGGAGTAGGGGCTGTTGTCTCGCAATCTCACCGTACCGGTGGATTTAACGTCCAAATTGATCAAATAAAATTGGAAGTGGGTTCCGTTATTCGCCCATAGAGTTCTATAAACGTCCTCTTTGTAGCGCATCAGCTTCATTTCCTCGTCGGTCGGCCGGGCGACGTATTTGAACAGTTCCAAGTTCGGCACCGATCCTTTGGGTTGGTTCAAATTCAAGAAGGCTATGCCGTGCGTATCCGACTTGGAGCCTTTGTTATCCATGTAGTTCCTTACTTGCTCGTCGAGGCTTTCTTGCGGTACCGTGATGTTCGTGGGTACCCTCAAGAGAACGTAGCAATGGTCGCGTAAAGCGCTGCCTACTTCTAAATTTTGTATCAAGTCGATGCCGAGACGATTTAAATGCTCTTTAGGACCGATTCCGGATAGCATTAATATCTGCGGGGATTTCACGCTGCCGGCTGATAGTAGTACTTCTTTCTTAGCTGTTGTTCTGTAAGTGAAGCCGTTGTGTGTGAATAATACGCTGTTGGCTTGCTTCGTTTTTTTGTCGATTTCGATTTTGGTTACAAAAGCGTTGGTTAGTACTTTTAAGTTGGGCCTGTTTAGAAACGGTTTTACGAACGCTGTACCGAAATCGTTTCTTTTAGTACGTTTAGTGTATTTCTGATGAATCGAAGTACCTACTACACGAGGACTATTGTAATCTGTTTGGTTGTAGCCGAATTCCGAGCAAGCCTCCATAAAGGACTGGGTTATGTAGAAATCCGGCAGGTTGTGTTCGACGTGCAACAAACCGCCTCTCCCGTGATATTTCATGTCTACAACGGCTGCTGTATCGGTCCAGTGGAAGTCTTCAGCTTTAAGGAAGTATTTGAGGATTCTTTGGTACCGCCAGGAGGGATCGCGAGTGATTTTGGCCCAATCGTCGTAGTTTTTGGGGTGACCTCTGCTGTACAAGGCCGCGTTTATTAAAGTGCTGCCGCCTACGCCTTTGCCTTGCGACACGAAGCACGAGTTGTTTTCGAAAGCTGAAACGGGTGAGTTATGATTTTTTTGCGTATTATATAGTATATTAAAATTGCGGGTACTTACCGTGGCACGCGTATTTTTGCGGTACGCTCTTATAGCCCCAATTGAGCGGCGAATTAGCTTGGAAAGGAAAGTAGTTGACGAATTGCTCGAAGCCGTCGTTGCTAAAATTGCCGGCCTCCAAAACTAACACGTTGAAATGCTTATTTTCGGTGAGCCTGCTGGCTAGTACTGACCCGGCGGTACCGCCGCCAATTATCACGAAGTCGTGCGCGCCAAAATCTAAAAGAAGCGATTAACGCCCATATTCACCAATTTTCGCTAATCAACCTAAAGACACTGTTATGCCCGGTTTTACCAACGCCGAATAAATTTATAAATAGTTATTCGATGAATAAGTGTTAAACTTCAGTTAAATATTTTTACTGACGTTTCACCAATACTTTTTTTAATCTTCATTTAGCTATTTAACAGTTCAAGCAAATAATTCTGATAGATCAACCCTTAGAATTCAATTATTTCAAAAAAAGGAAGATTTCAAACTGAATTGTTCAGGTTATTTTTAGGTTTTTGTTACTGCGACGTGTGAGTATCATTATTTTATTATATTTGGAGTTTGAGTTGTTTTGAAATGGATAGAAAAAAAGAAGCAAAAATTACTTGTAAGAGAAGAAGAAAAATTTAATAACGATCTTTCTTTCTAAAACAATTCGAGGTCGTCTAAAATGAAAATCTTCATCACTTAATGTAGAAGATGTTGATGAAGATGATGCTAAAAATCTAATAGATAAATAATTTTTAAATATAACTTAAAAAGTACATCATATTTGTATTATCTTTTATTCCTTATTGCGTAAAATTTGCGTATTTTTAATGGACAACCAAATTTATTATTTGTCGTTGGTGAAAACGGACATCAGTCTGATAAAATTTAACAGTCGGTTAACGATATTTGTTATTCGCTACGATTTTTAAAGCAACAGACAGTTTTCTTGAAAATAACCAAGATTAAGATGGTATTTTACGACTAATTTGGCGACGAGCTAACCGAATCTTCCTTCAATCTGAACCTACTTCTAAATTCTATTTCGGAATATTTCTATCTATTTCTATATTACTACCGTCGGAAGATGAATTTAACAATTCGTGAAACTCTATTCTATTTAACTACTCCATTATAATTAGGTATAAAATTAAAATGTTATATGTCACAGTTAAATTGTTGTAAAAACTTATACATAGACAATTTCGACATTTTGGATAGAAGTTATCAGTCTGTTACTTCTTTTATCAGTTCGATTTTGCTCTGTTATTTTTATCTGACTGTTAAGTATTAACTGATATTGGTGAATGCCAAAATATGACATTAACATATTGATAAGAAACTATCTCTCTATTAGCGATTTAATTTCACATTGGTGAATATGGGCGTATTTCGTGTTATACTTGAAAAAAAAAATAAAATGCTATATGTACCTTTAATCGGGTGTACAGGCGCTTCGAATTCCCTAGCGTCTGTTGGCAATTCGAATGTCATCGAGTTGCTTATCCCATCTTGGATTAATTTTTTCAAATGTTCCACTTGCGACAGATTTTGCGTTAAAACTTGCTGGCATAGAATTATAACGAGCGACTTGTAAATGATATACATTGTGCACGAACTTTTCGCAGCGTTTATGAGCTGGTGACGATAATTTGTTCAAATATATATAGGTGGCTAGTACAAGCTTAGAATGAAATAACACGTAGGTTTTTAACAGGTATCCCTTTCGTTTTGGATGGATAATAAATATTCAGTAAATTGTAATTAGCTAATTTACGCTATTACTGTTATCTTTTGTATGTGTTAAAACATTTGGGAATGTAAACTTATCGCTCATATGTAGGTAATATTTTCGTGGTATCTCTAATTTTAGCGACTGAACAATTAGCATATTTTTATTATTATTTATATTTAAATTAATTATTTTTTAAATGTTTATAGGAATAGAATTAAAATACTTCAAATTACAGTTCCTGGTTGGAAGAACTCGGGGATTTGAATATACTCTTTATTTATATAATGTACATTTTTACAAACCTAGGTACTATTAACATTTCTAAAAAGTCACAAAATATGTATAAAAAATGCAATTTCCCTAAATATTTAATGTGTTATGTTGTCATAATCTCCAAATGATGATTTTACGAAGATCTCGCCTAAGAATATTTATTTAGTCTCGTGACATTTTTCCACACCTCAAGTCCATTATGACCGACTACGCCCTGCGCATCCATAAATTGAGCCTGAACTCTTGTGTAAACAAGTAAAATCAATTTCACGAAAAACGATTTTACAACATTTTTTAGGAAAAACTTGATCACATCAAAATAAATTAAATTTCTTCTTTTTCTTCTTATCCGAAATGGCGTTGCTAGTTTCTTTCTCGTCGATATCTTTATCGGCATCCACTAATTTTTCCTTCGACTTTTTGGTCTTTTTTTCTTTTTCTTTTTTCTTGTCCTTTTTCTTTTCCTTTTTATTAGGTACTACGCTTACATTCTGCTGCTGGTTATCTCTGTTCAATGTATATAAATTTATGTGGTTATTGATCGTGTCGTCTTCTTCAGCCTCGCGAATTCTATCCTTCTCCAAGCATTCCACTATTTGGTTTCTTCGTTCAACAATGTCCACCAGTCTAAAATATATTTTCGTGTTTAATAGTAACAGTAGACTTTAAACAGGGTTAATTTAACCCGTTGACCTCCACGGCAATTTTCAGACTCCGGTCTAAGAAGCCAAGGTCACTAAATCATCATTATATTAATACGAGATAACTCGTAGACGGCGTCGTAGGCAAGATGGCAATCTACGAGTAATCTTGTAGTTGGAAGTCAACGGGTTATTGTCTTGTTTTAGTACCCTTAAAGAAGTATCTAGCATATTCTTCAATTCATATCAGCTACTTTGATTGAATCCTTTTTTTATTACCTTTTAATCAGTTCTTCTTCTCGCGCTTTCTCCGAATCCGTTTTATTCTCATCCGGTTGCATCATTAGACATCTAATTTGATATTCGATATCAGCGTGCTCCTCTTCCAGCCTCTGTTGCCTTCTGCTACGAACATAAGGAGACATATTCTATAAAAACATAAGGAAAATTATCATCTAATTACTTACAGGTACATTAATTCCGTTTGTTTTCTAAACAGTTCGTTCTTCTCGTTTACCAAATCGAACAATTGGAGTATGAGGTCTTCGACTTCAATGGGTACGTCATCGTCTGGAATAATATTAAATTATAAGCCTGTAATAGTACAATTAGAGTCGAGTGTCGTTTTTACCTGCATTAGCCGATTCGTTTTCGCATTTATCTCTAATAATCTGCTCCAAACGAACGCCCTGCCTCTCTAAACCCTGTTGCTGCACTTCGATGAATTCCAATTCCTTCTTGATCTCCGCCAGTGGCAGGCATTTCATCGAGCGTCGTTGCGGAATCGGTTTGGCGGGCGCCTGTCCCTTTTTCCTCTTCCATTTCCCGTAAGTGCTTTTATCTTGCACCGGCAACTTCTCCGCATCTTCGATATCTAAAAACACGAACCGAAATGAATTATGCATTACATATACGTTGCCGGTAATAAATACTTTGCAAATTCCTGTTGACTTGGTCTTTGTCCAATTTCTCTTTAACGGCGTTTATCGAAGTTCTCCGTTCGGCGGCGAATTGATTTGGTTTTGGGGGCGGCGGTGGAGCTCTCCTATCTTTTCTGTATTTTGGTGTTGGTTTCGGCGAATGAGGCTGTAAACAGTGTTAATAATTATACGTGTATAACATATCATGTGATTGTAGCTTACCACGCTATGGCTAGGAGTGGACGTTAACGAGCTATTGTTAGATCTATCGTTGAATGCGGGTATAGGTGGTTTGGGCGCCGGTCTCTTTTTCCTGGCGCTGCCGTAACAACTCCCGCTCGATATCGACGAATTCGATCCTCTGAAATGAGTCGATGATAATAAACTGTCGAGCGGCGTCGATTTCGAATCGGAATGACGACTCGACGATCTCGTAACGCGATATTTTAACATAGCCAATTTTTTTTTATCGCGTAAATTCTCCCTTTCGAATGAGCATTGCTGGTTAAATTACCGTCATCCGTTCACAATTAAATACACGAATTTCCACGCTAACACACCGGTTGTTTTCAACGTTACATAAACTGTCGCTCGACTGATGTGCACTTTACTTTACAAACGTAATGAATTAACTAACTAACTGTAACGAAAGCAACAAAGGGAACTGAACCGTTTTCCCGTTCGGTTTTAATAAAATGAAAATAAAAAAAAAATAAAAGGATTAATCACCGGCAGCAGATACAAGTAAATCAACTCAAAGTTCATTGTATTTGCGCCGACGATGTTCGTACGCGCACTTAGAACTACCAGTTTCGCATTTTGTTTTTCTTTTAACTAATAATTTCTGTAATAATACCGCTCATCAGCCGGCGAATCGCGTTCGACTTTCTACAGCCGCATCCGATCGTCCATATTTTTATAATAAGATGAATAGAAATTTATAGGGGTTAAATTAGTGTAATACTGGTATATAAAAAATAATATTAACTAATACGAGACGAAATTTAATATAAGATACAAGCAGCATTGCCGACTACAAGTTACAAAAACAAATCGTTCCTCCCCATTTCGTAAATGTTATAATAAAAATAAATCAGTTTGCACTTAACCTACGCCGCGATTCTTCACGGAGTATGCCTCTTGCATTACATGCATTACGGTAGAGAGAAGAAGGTGAAACTCCTTTATTATCGACTCCGGTTCCGACTTGGACGATTTAATGATATACCCCATTGGAATCGAGACCGCAATTTACATACGTATAGACAAAAACGCCGATCGCCGTTCGTCGGTGCAATTGCAAATCGATATCGTAATAACTCACCTAAATTCTTTCTGTACGTACAACAGCGACTTGTTCGCGTCGTCTTCGTCGTTCGACGCCGTCGATTTGGGCACGTTGATTTTCTTCCTTCTCGCCGGCGCGACGGGCGTCTCTTCTTCGTCGTCGTCGGCGTTTTCGAATGGGTTTATGCTGATCCTCGAGACGCCGTGCGGATGGCGGAACATGTCCTTTTTAATCGCCGGCGTGAGCTCCAGTTTTTTTCTGATCGGTACGTTTTCTTCTTCGTCGTCCTCGTCGAAGGGATTCAGGGAGGTGGTTTTCGGCGGGGCCTCTTCTTCGTCGTCGAAGGGATTTAAATCTTCCGGGTAGCTTTCGGTTTTTTCTAATTTCGGCGGGTGTTTTCGGGCCATCGGAACTGGTTTGGCGGCAACCGTTAAATTAGGGTTAACAGCTTCGATAACTTCTGCTGTAAGGTGGGTTTCTTCTTTTGTTGAGTCAATTTTTGGAGTAACCTGGGTTGTTGCTTGTACGTCGTAGTTTACATTTTCGTCTGTTAAATTAGGGTTAATAGCTTCGACAACTTCTGCTGTAATGTGTGTTTTTTCTTCTTTTATTGCCTCAATTTCGGTTGTTGTTTGTACGTCGCAGTTTACATTTTCGTTTGTTACATTAGGGTTAACAGTTTCGACGACTTCTGCTTTAACGTGTATCTTTTCTTCTTTCAATTCTTCCTCGTAATTGACAGTTTGAGTAATTTCTTCAGTCTTCGGAATGATTTCGTTTGTTATTTTTACGTCGTAATTCACACTTTCTGTTGGAGTTTCGTTTTCGGAGTTAGCTGTTAAAGATGTAAAAGGTTCTTGAATGAATTCTTTTACATCGCTCTCTGGTTGGAATGAATCTTGGAGAGAAGTTATAGCGGACGTCATATCTTCTATTGCTTCGTTTATTGCACGAGTACTATTTTCAATTAAATCATCATCGTGTTTAGGCATTGGTAATAAATTCTTCTCGGTGTTAGTTATGTTACTTAACGAAGTACCTTCTTCGATTTTAACGTCATCGGTTATTGAAGATTGATTGTCTTTCGTGGAAATATCTTTATCATTATCATTATTTTCGTTAGTTTTACTAAAATTATTATCTACACTTTTAATACTAGGCGGAATGGATGCGTTCGGTGATAAAGGCACTACACCTCTATTTACATCAGCCTTGGAATTATTCTCAAATAAACGCATACGAGCTCTTACTACAGACTCTTTGGTAACGACATTTCGAGATTCTACATTGTCACTACAACTAATTTGATCTGGAACGTCTCTACTGGTTGGAAAACCTTCCGCGGGATGAGGCGACTCGGGCAAATCGGGCGGTTCCTTGCAGGACGAATCGTCGCCGGATTCCAGCACGTTGTTCCTGAAGAAGCTCGATCTCGCCGCGTCGAATTCCCTGCTCAACGTTTGCACTTTCTCCGCGTCCGAGTTCTCCAGGACGGTCTCGAACGTCGCGCTGAACTCGTCCGGTTCGCTGTCGATGTACCGCAATTGGGCGGCTTGCTCCTCGTCGCTCATGTTCCGGTTCGGATGGGCCTCCTCATCGGGGCATATCTCGCAGCAGTGCTCGCCGCTCTCGGTCTCGTAGTAATTGCCGAGGGTGAGCTGGCTGGCGCAGCGCGCGCACCGGAAACACGTCCTGTGGAAGAGCTGTTTTCCAATGTTGAGGCGTTCGGCTATGAACACCGGCAGGCCGCACTTGGTGCAAGGTTCCCTGCGGACGATCGCACCCGTGTGGGCCGTCTGCAAGAAGGGCTCAATCAATTACTCATTTCTAACTACATTTAGACTGGAATAGCTGAAGATGTAAGAGGGATGCGCAGTGGTGATTTGAAAATCTACAGTTATTCCTACTGCGCTGTAAGTACACGTATACATAACTCTGACAAAAATCATCCTGCGGGTAAATATTTTGAACGTTGGATGTTCAAACCTTTTAATTTTTGTCAAAAATACAATACATGTATTACATACTACAGTATCTACGTGTTTTTTTTTATTTTGCAGTGTAGTAACTCAAATAAAATGTTATGATTAACAATTTGAAATTTGTAATCAAACTAATTGAAAGTTTACGCATGCAGGAATTGTAATGATTCATTTACCTTTAACAAAAAATTTCGGGTTTGTATTGCCCGATTATGTCCAGGCTTTCCTCCTAAGGAAAAAAATAAACAGTGTGGGTTAAAAATAAAGCAGATGCTTGGGATTTTATCGGATTTTTGTGCAATGTTTTTCTACATGAAGCTTTTTATAATTCGTTTTAACTTCATGCCAGAACACTTAGGTAAATATCCAACTTGATCTATTTGGAATATTAGTTAAATACTACTTCGTTTAGTTTCTATTAACTAAGTTAAGTAACATGCATATCGATTTTTAACCATATACTAAATCACAACAGCTACTACCAATTACGTGCTTAGAATAAATAGAATTACAGTGTATCTAAAAACTAAAAAATTATCCCCAAAATATATTATTATAAATACATCTTTTTCAATCTACTTCTAAAAACACTCACCCCTTACAAGCCGAACCCACACTGTTTATAAGTATATTGTGCAATAGTTCGAAAAGAAAGTGAGCAAAACTACAATACAAAACTAACAAAAAACCCCAAAAACAAATTTAATAATTTCTAAAACAAAAACTCTTCAATAGAAATTACTAAACTTTTACTAATAAAAAAAGAATGTGAAAATTCTGTACTACTTACATTTCTCTCAAATCTACTCATTTATATTATTAACAACACCTTTCTTCAGAGGATTATACTACAGTTTATCATGCAATAAGACACAGATATAGTAAAAACCAACACCAGAAGTCGCGCATGCAAAAGTCAAGCGGTAAGTGCAGGATGAATTATTTTCTAGATTATTATAAGAAAATTTTAATCGATGAAACTGTATTATATACCGATGAAACGTGCCGCAGCAATTTAACGATCCAAATATTTGCGAGCATTCCATTCGCCCGAATATCGAATGCAGAATTCTTTCGACAAAATAAGGATATAAATCAGCCATGGCATATTTCGAACGTTGCAGTTCTATACCGAATTTATCGCAAATCGATTATACATTTTAGTGCATGGACAACTTAAATAACTGCTCGATGATAAGTACATTCAAAGTAACTATATGATAGTTTTATTGAGAGGATAAAACATAAAATGTATAGCAATTTGTGTTTCTAACTGCCATATTAACCAATGTCTATTAAATCGCTAACAGAGAGATAAGTTCTTATCGATTTGTTAACGTCATATTTTGGCATTCACCAATGTCAGTTAATACTTAACAGTCAGATAAAAGTAGCAGAGCAAAATCGAACTGATAAAAGAAGTAACAGACTGATAACTTCAATCCAAATATCGAAATGCTCAAAGTTTTTACGACTATTTAACAGTGACATATAACATTTTAATTTTATACCTAATTATAATGGAGTAGTTAAAGAGAATAATAAAGTTTCATCTTTCGAAGATAGTTATAGAAATAGATATTAAATAGATAGAAATATTCCCAAATAGAATTTAAAATTCGGTTACATGGAATAATCGCTGGAACATGTTTATTATAGATATTTACTTCTTTAAATATACAAATTTTACATTTATACTAATTATAAATTCAGCATGAAGTTAAGAACTATATCGTAATATCAACTTAATCATGGTTATTTTTGAGAAAACTATCTGTTATACTATCAGTTACTTCAAATATCGTGGTGACATACATTGCTAACCGACTGTTAAATTTTATCAGACTGACAGTGTTTTCAGGTTGATTAGCTGAAATTGGTGAATATGGGCGTTAATGTTGAGACAAATAAATGTAGAGGTCAGTTTATGAAAAAAAAACTGCATTTTCTCAAAATGCATATCTTCATATTTTTACATTTTTGAGACGATGAGTCAATTCATAAAGACCATACTGACCATATTAATTCAAAAAATGACTTGGTATGTCACACCCTAGAATACAAGCACATTAAGAAGCAAAAGTATTAATAATCATGATGTTATTTTGATACAAAGTCATTACACAAATAATTAGATGGGTTTATTATTAAGGAGCTTCATGAGGTATGAGAATATACCGTTTATATTTACGTTTGTACACAAACACACTGCAGAACATTGCACAAAAATACACAAAGCAAAACGACTCGAATAATAAAATAAGAAGCATTTTTTCATAAATACTTACTTTTGTAGGTGGACTCGTGGACGCTGGTGATACAATCCCGTGATCTGCGGAGGATTGCGGCCTCTTTGGGGCAACTCTAGCCGGGGAAGCACCTTTAATAAAATCGAAACATCCTATTTATTTTACCTGCGCCGATATGAATTTTTTGTGATTCAATTGAGCACGTTCGGACGTGATAAACCCAACTTATCAACTGGAATTATGGAGATAAAAACATCTCTGCATCAACCAAAACCGGAAGCACGCAAAGATAATAGATGTGTACTTGTCAATGTATTATGGTATTTATTCATAACAAACCAATTTGGGTTACCGGACATGTATAACAATTGTAATTTACAGTTGGAAATTTATTTTCACTTTTTCGTTTTTATTTTATTACGTACCGAATACAATCGGTTAAAATAGTAATTAGACATTCGCTTATTCGAATACGTAACATTAGAATTAAAGAAAAGCATCCGATGCATAATATTTGCCAATTAAAAACTGTGAGAATATCGCGAAAGTGATTCTCATAACTGTGATTAAATTTGAATTTTATACCGATGGGAACTTCGAATCACCTTTGTTTGTAGAAATTTCTAACAGTTAAACAAGATAGGAATCTCTTGTACCGAACGATATTTTTTGGATAAAAAAAAGTCAACGTCCTCTTGCTATTTTCCGATGAAAAATTATCAGTATTAGAGCTTGGAATATATGCACTAAAAATGGCAAAACATGAATGCAAATATGCACTAAAAAACCTTCAAAATATGCACGTATAAATGACGTTGTAAATGATTCCAGAAACACTGTTGTCTGGAATCTGAATAACTGTCTACAACCATTTAGAGCGCTTCATATAATCATTGAGAATTGCCTAGAACCATCTAGAACGTTCCAGAAGCTTCCAGAACATTCCTGAATGATGTGAAATGGTCCAGAATCATTTATAACTGTCTAAAATCATGTAGAAAATTCTAGAATAATTTAGAACTGTCTAAAACCATTGGAACGCTCTATAATTATTTAAAAGTGCGTAGAACCATTTAGAATGCTCCAGAACCTCAGTGTTTCTTTTATTACCCGAATTTGCATTTATGGGGGAAATATGCATCAACATGCACTTTGCATAGTATATTCCAGGCTCTAATCATCATCATCGAAGCATAAACAATCTTGATAACTAAAATGTGTAAATGAAAAGCGCTCATTTGTCAGCCGATTAGTCGACTTTCTCGATCATCGATTTTTCGCAATTTCGCCGATTCAATCCGACTCTATCATTAAAATCTCGCGATTCTAATCGACCGTTTAAAATCCCGCTGAAAAATCACATAATAACATAATTCGAGGCTAGGCAAAAGATACATCATCAACCGGCGATTAGAAAGCCGTGATAAATGATTTAACACTTCTCACCGATATTTTGATGTATCTATTCTATTCTAATAGGTTCACCAATTGCCACCAATATCGTTGGAATAAATACAATATTAATTTTACCAACAAAATAATCGCGAGGAGTAAATTGCGCCTCGACAAAAATGATACCTGCTGATTAATTCTCTATACGGTTATTGCCACATTAATAATTATACACTTTTCTTGCCGCAACATGGCGACATGTATCTATTATTTCAACGAAAAGGTACTAATTTTTTTGCAATTATTACCGAACAAACGTGTTGTTCTTTTAGATCTAATAACATGTGTGTGTACTTTACGAACACAATAATCGACATAAATTCGTGAAGAAGTTTTCGCGCCTGTTGTAGACCCTAATTAGAGACTTTCTGTTATTGCTGCAATAGGCGCTGTATTTATAAAACCTTTCGCTTTAAAAAAATGAAGCAATTGTTTCAAGGAATATGCGTAAAAAGAAGCGAAGGAAGAATAATTTTTATGTTTTCCGTATTTATAAAAATAAGCATTTGCTTAAATAATAAGGATTTGCTTGAACAGATGGAATCTAAAGGTTCATAGCAATTTTTCACAATTTTTTCAGTAGCTACTAAGCCACCACACAGCTTGTAACTTAAATTTTTTTGTGTATTTTGGCTGTTTTTCCCCAGTTTGTTATGGACGACAGGCTGCATTTACGTTAGAACTGTCTAGAACCATTTAGAACGCTCCAGAATCATCTAGAACTACCTTGAATCATTTAGAACGTCTAGATCAATCTAGAACGCTCCAGAATCATTTAGAACTGTTAAGAATCATTTAGACCGCTTCAGAGTCATCTAGAACTGTCTTAAATCATTTAGAGCTCATCAGAATCATTTATAACTGTCTAGAGGGAGGATTTTGTTTAAATGGGTCCAACAATGACCCTCTTTAACATTAGCATAGTATTAAAAAACACCCTGTATGTTAGGAAATAAACGCACCATCCACTAGTCGACCCGTTTCGCAATTATTATGTATTTTAAACGGCGAAAGGATATAATACTTACACGTTGAACCTTATAAGCACTGACACGAATTCTGCGTAAAATGATTTATGCCGAAATCGTGAACCGGCATCGGCCTTACGGCAATTAATAAAATTTTCGTACGGAGATAAAAATCTCAAGTCGACGCCCCTGCGGGACAATTTTAATTAACCCTTTGACCGCTCGCACGGGTCACGATTTTGCCAAAATTTTATTCCATTTAGGCGGTAATTTTCGAGAAAAATTTATTACGAATCTTAGCTATTGCAGCATAACGGTGCAATGTATTGCAGCAATAGGGTGCAATATATTGCTACAATATTGAATTGCAATTTTTATACAAGCTTTAATAAAAAATATTGTATCGCGTACGTGTGAAAATATGTTGTATTTAAAAATGTGTTTGTATTTTAATTGCAATGCAATATAGCTGCAATATGTTGCACCGTGTGATAACGCTCTTAGGGTAAGGAGAAAATCAATCTATTATATCAAATCACTATAATTCTTCGCTAATCGTTGAGCATTAACGCTGTAATTAATTTACATCGACAAATCTAGAATAAAACGCTTTCTCTTGACACTCACGGTTTTTCGATAGTGAAAGCAGACATGAGACATGAACAAAATGAGAAAAAAAGGAGTTAAAAAGCGCCGAAATTCGCTGGGTGGCCGGCCAGCCGACAGTTCGTGACCTTTTTAATGTACCTTATATCCAACTACGTTATGTTATATGAAAAGTATCATATTTGACTTTATTTTTGGATTCCGAGGACTTTTTTTTCTAGACTTTGCACAACACTAAATATGCACCATTTTATTAAGTTATTAAATTTTTTTCGGGTAATTTAAGTAGATAAGTTTAGATAACTCCTAAAATTTCTAATGAGAAGTATCCTCAAAAACTCTGTATACATACTAGTAGATGTATTATTTAAACACCCTGTAGTCCATAAAAAAGATGCCTAATTCATAACGTTCCGTAATAATTGCATAAAAAGTGGAGCAATTCACACCGAGCAGAAGCATTACATAATAGATTATTTCGATTATTACACATTTGAATTAAGTTCCGCGATTCTTATCTATTCGAATAAATCAGCAGTGCGTGAGAGGATTGGAAAACATATTTAATACATTGTCAAAGTACTGCAAAATAACCGATGGATGTATAATTAATTAACCCTCGTATTTAGAAGTTTTTTATAATCAAATGGTTTTGTAATCAACGATTATATATTTCCGAATTTGAAACATGGCAACGTTGCTTATTTGAATCTTAAACATGATGAAAGTAAAGTTAATTTTTTAACATTTTTTGCCAATTAGAAGGCTCCAGAATCATCTAGAACTGTCTAGAACAATTTAGAACGCTCCAGAATCATTTAAAACTTCGGTTTAGAACCATTTATAACGCTTCAGAACCATTTAGAATTGTTTAGAGTTTTGAATATTAAAGCTGGGGCCTTATTTAGAAGAGCCATATTTAAAATTTAAAATCGTTTGGTTGTAAAAAACTTCTGAATACAGAGGTACGGGTGTTTTTGGACATTGTTATTATATATTTTAACAAAATGTATGTTTTTCTTACCTTCTCGCACGGCGAAAGCTTGATAAAACTGTGATAAGTAGGTGAGTATGGAAAGACGATCGGGCGATGAGCATTCAACCATATCTTCGGGTTCCAGAAGCGCCGGTATGCCCAAATGTGTTTCGGCAACTCTGAACGCCAGCGAATTGTTGTAGAACACATCGTCCCCGTTCAGCTTCGAAAAGTCTCTGTAACAACGGGAAAAATAACATAAAACGTACTATACATTGGTGTAAAATTAGTTTTTTACCAGCTTCATTAGTTCATTAGCTTTCATTAGTTTATTACAGCTTCTAAATGTCTCTGTAACAACGCGAAAAATAACGCAAAATGCACTATTATCATGGTAAAATGAAATTTTTATCAGCTTCATTAGCTTGCATTAGTTTGCTAGAGTTTGGAAAAGTCTCTGTAACAAAGCGGAATAAACCGTAAAATGCACCATATAGTGATAAAATTAGTTCTTTACCAGCTTCATTCATTAATTAGCTTTCATTAGTTTGTTATAGCTTCGAGGAGCCTCTATAGCAGCGCAGAGAATAACGTAAAACACACTATACACATAATGGTAAAATTGTTTTTTTTTTATAGCGGGCGCAATTTGAATGCCCATCAAATCGTTAAATCATTTCGAAACTACTGTGTAAAAATTTGTATACAAAAATATTAAACATATGTTAGGCCGTAAAAGCCGCGCTATCGATAAAGTAAAAACGTTTTGCATTTTAATGAATCGAAAATTCATTTTTATTATTACTATAAATTAGACGTTAATTACGTCGGAAATAAATATTAGAAAGTTTCCGTAAAATTTTGAGGCGCAAACGCTAATTTACTATCAAATAAATTTTACAAGAAAATTTGTTTAGCTGTAAAAAGTTCCGAATTTAGATCGTTTTCACACGGTGCAATCAATACATTGCTGCAATATAGCATTGCAGTTTTTATACAAGTGTTAATAAAAATTATCGTATCGCATATGTGTGAAAACTACGCGTTTGAACGTTTGTATTTTAATTGCAATGCAATATGCAACTGCAATTTATTGCTGCAATATGTTGCAACTGCATACAAACGTCAATTTTTTGACATGCTAGTCCGTTGTGCATACGTCAACGCATTTCTAAACGTTTCGACACGTTGTTTACTATTACTATGCACCGTTATGATATATTTTCGTTGTAAAAAAACAATGCAAGATTACGGTGGAATGCAATGAAGTAATTAAAGCGGTCAGCCTGGTTTTGCGTACGAGTACGAGCCCACCTAAATGAAAAAATCAGAATGCCTGACGGTGTTTTATCATTATTATACTTTAATACATGACTAAACATAGAGAGTGCTACTTATGTTAGTGTGTCAAAGTAAAAAAAGAAGATTTCATACAAAGTCGAGTATTTTTATTTTTTACATAGTAAATATCGGTTTGTAATTACAGAAATTTCCATCAATGCTTTACAGTATTACCAATAATGGTTTGATTAATAGCTTTCTATTGATTTATTATGTACAAGAACTCATTAATTCTAATAGCGAGTATATCAAATAATAGATTTTTGGCACGAATTCCGTGCGCTAATTGATCACAATCGAGTGAATAAAATAACACAAGGATTTCAATCTGTGTAACATAATAAATTAATCGATTTTTTATCGTGTTTTATTTCACGTCGGCAATTACAATTTCTTAATTGGAAAAATCCCATAAAAACTACATATTTATTATTTCGATTCCATAAAAGGTAAGCAGACTAAATCGAATAAAAAAACCTTCGTCAATCAAGGCAGACGTGTTCTTATTTCTTCTTTTTTGTATCGCAAGAAAAAAACTCAAAATTTTGTTATTATTTCGTTTATATTAACAAGTTGTTCGAGCTGCTGGGATCAAGAAACTTTACCCTGCTAAGGCTACGCAATTTACTCACATAAGATCCGGTCTGAAATGGTGTATAATGGCACAGAAAGCGAGACCATCCCTCCACGAAGTGGTCATATTATCGATCCTGACCCCCGGATAGCCTTGGGTCATCTTGCGACACCACAATTCCAAGCCTTTGGTACCCCTTCTCTCGTTCATCTTCGCAATCTCGCTGAAACAAAAAAAAAATAAACAATAATTTTAAGATGTACACAGCAAAACTGTAAATAAGAAGGGAAAAGCGACCGCTACACATCCGGATAAAAGTCGTTTCTGATTCGCAATCGCCGATCCGTGCGTCATAAAAACGTCCGATTGACAGTTAAAATAGAGCAATATTAACCGATGCGAATGGGGAAATGCAAATCTAACGGCGCAAATGCAGCGGAACATCGCTCGCGATGATCGGTAAATTTCATATACAGGGCGTTTCGTAAACTCTCTCTCTCTCTCTCTCCATCGAAGAGTTCACCTTTAACGGCGAGAGCGATAAATAATAAATCGAATAACTACGAAGGCTGCGAAAAACGAGATATTTTTATAGGCACAAGGCAATAGGAAAACAAACGAGCGACCTCAGATGCTCAGCTGTTTTACTTTCGAAGCCATCTCGATCGTATTGAACGTGAGCTGGTCACGACTCGTTGGGATATACTCAGTAATATAACGGTCAATAACAACGTTCCTTAGGATATTTCAAAAACTTTAGTTATTCCTGATTCCTGAAGATCTATAGTAATCTGTACCTTAAGAAATCTATTATTCCTCTAATTTCGTATTGCGTGCGGATGGCGCAGAGTTTAAACGCTCGCTTAAATCGGTGGAATAGTTACAGTGCAATACAAACGATGGGATTGTAACTGTTCCAATGGAGCCCGTTCACTTTTATTGGTTGACGTAATAGAAAAAGATCGGGATCTGTTTTGAACTTTTTCCATACAACCGGAGGCGACGAATTGGTCCGTGGAGAATAAACCTGCGTCGTTATTCATTAACACATATTGTAGTGAACTTCATAAAATGTTTATTGAGGTCTTGTGTTATTGTAATTTCCTTCGCCGGAGGATATAATAAGGTGTGAATGGTAAATTTGATTGAAAAACAACCAATAAATTTATTACCCGAGGACTCCTTTGAAGAAAACGTAGTGATTTGCAGTACTAATTACCCACAATTTTGAAGCGACGTGGTGACAACAAGAAAAAAATCATCGAGAACCTCCTCGAAAGGTTAAGGAGATAGAAAATGACCTTCTTTAATTTATTAGTTCATTGTTTATGTCGAACAATGGATCGTTAATTGTCGATAAAAGGCGAAAAGTTAATGCGAGTAAATAGGGAAAAGAGACGATTAGAAGCTTATAATGGTGTAATGTCTCTTTTCAATTGACCCACTTCGGTTGTGGCCGGGCACATCCTCTTCTTCGATGAGATAACACTAATTGCAATTGGCTACTTCACGTGTTAACAACTGTACGATTACCGAAAATCAATTAAGAGGTATAATAAATCTATAGAGTACAAGCGTTGTTTAAAGCAAAATCCTTTCACAAAAGGATAAAATTAAATCCTTTCCTTTCGCAAGAAGTAACAAACCAAACAGGGTAGAGGCAAGGTTGTTTATACCTAATGACATTTCCCATTATTATAAATAATTAGGCATTTACACACAAGGTTTAAATCATTACCATACATGCAAAAAACCATATTCGCAGTTTTGTCAAAATTAGTACCTACTTCCTCTATATCCTTATTCGTACTTAATTGATAATAAATTGTCAACAACTTCGATTGTGTCGATCGAGCATCCTGTTCGACACATATAAAAAGCAAAAACTAGCGATTTTAATAACGTTTTATACCTTTCAGACCATGAAGCCATCAAAAATCTAGTTAGTAGAAAAAGCTGGAAACGAAAATGAAAAAAACGCGAACGTAACGAAACGTAAAATGAAAGACCGTTTTCCGATTCACAATGGCGACGGAAAAAACGCGACATTGCTAGGTCAGTTGTTAAAGATATTTACGGTGGATAGTGGACCGAAGATTAAGGTGAATTAGGCAGACTTTCTTATTGTATTACAAGGACAAATCGAATTGAAATATTAAAAAAAAAACTCGCATACAATTGTGCAACGCACAGCTGAAATCGATGGCCCAAAGAAACATAATAACCTCGACAAGTTAATGATCCGACGCATTAAAATTATTGTTACGACCTAAATAGTGCGTAATTAAATATAATTTTATATACGAAATTATCGTTTTCGCTCGCTAATGTGCAATGCCTCTTTCCACGACGATCACCGACGTTGATGAATACCTACACTATACACTATACACACTTCCCATCATTTCTCAGACTTTTCGGACAATCCATCAACCAGTCGACAAAAGCGCACGCAAATAATGGCTCTATTTGACTGAACAATTAGCAGTTCAAGTGTTGGAAAGTGTTTGCAAATTAATTTAAACCGAGATTTTCTCCGTAATTTCGAGTTGGGTTAATTTTTACCTTTGTGTGTTTAGTGAACACGGCTTTCTACGAAGTACATTTAAATGTACAAACAGTAGTAGTAATAGTAGTAGCACGATTTCATATCTTCAAAATTTTTAGCACTAGTGAATAATGGATATTGGACGGTACAACAGATTAGTTACGGACAAAGCAAATAATTAAAAATGCAGGTTTTAATTGTTTGTTTACACGTTTACAGCAATAAACGTTAATCTGAACACTTTCTAAGCTGGCAAACTGATTTATGAAAGGAAGAATAGCCGTCGCGATAACAGCCCAACCTAGCTGTAATTGTCTCGAAGAAAAGGTAGGTAGGAGATCGCGAATGGTTAAAATCGAAATAAAAACCTTCTCTGTCACATGTTGTTTATAAATTTTCTCCGTTATGACATGTGCAAGTTTCAATTAAACGCTTTTTTCCGCCGTTCGAACGTCGCGAAATGCGCAGCGAGCTCTTACATAAAGACTGGTTAATGAAGTTGAAACTAATGTTTAATGTAATTAAAGGATATGCGGGAAAGAGGAATTGAAATCGGCAATTTCACTTAGCTGCTGCACCTACTGCAACTTTTTTTTCTTCGCTATAAAGTATGAGTCACAATGAAATGTGAAAAGGTGATACAGTGTGATTCATTAGTAAACGTTACTTTCAATAATCATCCCTTCATAGTTACTCATTCTTCAGTTCGTTTAAGGAGCAATTGATGCAAAAGAACCAAAGAAGTGTATTGATTTTTTTATTGAAATAAGTGGATGTTGTGAGATTAGAAAGTCTGGAACTCTATTCCAAGATTTCACTTACTCCTCTAAATTTTATCGCTACGCAACCGTAATATTTATCGCACCATTAGAGGATCGCAACTATGTTGCATTTGCCATTCCGAACCATTATTCATATGCACGGACGGATTTAAAGGCAATACCACTTTGACGGTAAATGCCGTATAAAATACTTGCTTAGGAGACGCATGAGATATTTCCGAGATTATCAATAGCTGTAGGATTACTCGTATATCGATAGAATAAAATAGAACTCTCCTTAGTACACTTTACAAGAAGAAAGTTTTTTTATATACCTACTCAATCTACAGGGTGACCGATTACGACCAGACAAATAAATTATCTAGAAAGTCCAGCGCAAACATAAAGCAGGAAAAAAACGCTTTAACCTTCCTTAATGAGGTCTCGAGATATTAACCATACGAACAAGATATCACGAAACTAACGCGTCCTTAATTCGAGAAAAAGTACACAGTTTGTTCAAGCAATAAAGCTCGTATGAAACACTCATTAGTCGGAATATATTATGGTGGGTTTTATATGCGGGGGTAATGGACTGAGAGAACGAAGGCGAGTAAAATAATTTTTCAGTCATGAAATTTAATTATCTCCCACAAAAACTAACGGGAACGGATAATCTTCAAGCTCTGCGATTATATAAAATATACTATCTCGGCTCAGATTAAACTTCTAGGAATAATTTCCGAGTTAATTTTAATGAAAACGCCAATTTAAATGTCAAACGTGCTACAAAAGAGATTGATGTGGCGAAATCTACAATGCAGATAAATGAATAGATTATTCTTACAATGTGTAAGACAAAATGTAAGCTTCTACATTCAAATAATATGAATAAACGAATTAAATACCCCCTTAAACATTTACCTATTTTATCAACATTTAATCGCCAACAAGCAAACGAACAAATGACTCCATCGCGATTTTAGCGTAGAGATAAAAAGCAGAAGAGGCAATAATCGCGATGCAATCTACTAGACGAATGTTAAAAGAGTATCGTGAAAGAGTATCTTCTGCAACTAATATGCTCGAGTGCAGGTGTGAGAGTATAAAAATGGTAATGCAACAATTAACAGTGGCGTAGAAGATGATAAAACAATGAAAAACGAACTCTAGCCATTTCTCACTGATTTCTAGCTCAGAAGTCTTTCAGAAGATATTCAGAAGTTTTTTTATAATCAAATAAATTGTAAATTGGTATTGTAACCAACGATTATATATTTCCGTATTTTTAACATGGCAACGTCGCTTATTTGAATAATAAACAAGATGAAAGTGAGGTGAGCTTTTTGTCATTTTTCTGCCATTTAGAACGATCCAGAATCATTTCGGAGTGTCCAGAACAATTTAGAACGCTTCATCATCATTTAAAGTGCTCTAGAACCATTTAGAACTCTCCAGATCACTCATTTAGAACGCTCCAGAATCATGTAGAACTGTCTAGAACCATTTATATCGTTTCAGAACATTTAAATGTAAAGAAGAAGAATGACAAAAAACTAACCCCATTTTCTTTAAGATTCAAATAAGCAACGTTGCCACATTTAAAATTCGGAAATCTTAAATCGTTTATTACAAAACCATTTGGTTAAAAAAACTTCTGAATACGGGGATATGTCTTTCACGTCTATATAAAATGCCAAACAATTGAACGCTTTGCTTTATTCCATATTTTTTATAGAGCTTTTGCAATCTATGAAGTCACCAATTTATTATCTATTTCTACTGCGATTCCTTATTTTGTAATAAACATCGATTTTTCAAAGACTTAACAATGTTGTTGCAACATCGTCGGATAGATTTATCGCTATTTATCCGAGTCCACTACTGATTTATTTAGATAGATCTCCGTCCAGG